GGGGCAGAAGATATCAAATTGGGTGCAGGCCTGTCAGGAGGACGCCCCACCTCCTTAAAAGGTACAGAAACACACAAGGGATCCCGCACATCCCATTGGCAGCTGAGAAACCCCATGCGTCGCTGCACCAAATCGGTAAAGCAAAACAAACGACAAACGCACTCAACAATTTGTCACCAGCCATACAGCGCGGTGCACACCAAATGGGCTTTGAACAGTAGAACAGTAGAAAGGCATCATGGCACACTCGCAAACCAGCATGTAAAACAACTTGTCTCACTACTAAGGACCTCTGTCATTGTCCTTAGTGGTGAGACAAGTTGTTTTACATGCTGGTTTGTGAGTGTGCCATGATGCCTTTCTACTATTTAACCGACGTGACTCGATCTTTTATATTTGACCAAAAAACTGGGTAATAATAAATGTTTCCTAACATAATGTAAAAAAACACGTTTTTTTTTCAAAATTTTCAGTAATTTTTCCTAATTATAATAAAAAATAAAACCCCCAGTGGTGATTAAATACCACCAAAAGAAAGCCCCATCTGTCCCCAAAAAATGGTATAAAATTCATGTCAGTACAGCGTTGCATGACGGAATAAACGTCAGTCAAAGTACCGCAGCGCTGAACACTGAAAAAATGGCCTGGCCAGGAAGGGGGTCTAACACCTGGTCTTGAAGTGGTTAAAGCAAACTCCAGTTCCAATATGGAGATGCTAAGCACAGATCTTAGTGTCACCTTAAACAAGGTGTTGGCAGGCTTCAGATTCAAGCAGTGGTGAAGCCTACAGAAGCCTGCTAGCAGCTTATTTAAAGTTACCGTCATCACTCCCATTAAGATCTGTGTTTAGTCTCAACCAGGGGCGTAACTAGAAATCACAGGGCCCCATAGCAAAATTTTGTATGGGGCCCCGTGATTGCTAGTCATGCCACTTGCAGAGCCCCAGCGGAGAGTGACCCTGCAGAGCCCACCATAGACTCTCTATAGTGGGCTCTGCAGGGTCTGAGATCTCTTACCTGTCAGCGCCTCTGTGGTCGCCGGGCCCCCGGACTCCTGTTCCGTCCCCGGGCCCCGCCTCCTCTGCTATCGACGGGCCCCGCCTTCTCTTACATCACTGGCCCCACCTGCTCTTAGGTCGCTGGCCGGTGATGTAAGAGGAGGCGGGCCCCGCCTCACCCATTCCGAACACACATTCCATGGCTGTCACTGACACAGCTCCGCAGCGGCTATGAGGGGAAATGCGCCGCGGCCGCTGGTGAGCTGTGTCTGTGACAGCCAGCACCCTTACATGCCATAGCCACCCAGGCCGCCCTGGCCGGGCCCCCCTGTGCCCGGGCCCCATAGCGGCTGCCTGGGTCGCTATGGCCATTGTCACGCCACTGGCCTCAACATGCTGGAGCTGAGAGATGCTTTAAATCCTTAATTCTCAACTGGTGGGTCGTGACCCAAAAGTGGCTCGCGACCCCATGTTCAGCGGGTCACCGCATGCCTTCTTTCCTAGGTGAGCGGCTCCTCAGCCCTCCCCCTAGCGCTGCACTGTCAGTTCTCGTGCCAAGCAGCCATTCAGAATATGCCGCCCAGCGTCGAGTGTCAGCTTGAGGTGGCATAGGATGGAGCTATGGCCGCGAGGGAGCTCCATCCATACGTGCATTGCTTACAGCTCCCTCGTGTGTCCTGTAGAGGTGTCTGGACCAGAATAACGCACTGTACCGCGCAATCACACCTACCATGCGTTCTGGTGTGGGAGGTGCAGTGAATTGCCATTCATTTGAATGCTACCCCCAAACGCACCTCCCACCTCCAGTTCGAACGCCTGTTCCGGAAGGCGCGTTACCATTGCAGTGCGGCCTGGGTTGCACCTTAATGACTAAGGACAAACGTGAGGTCCTGAGGTTACACAGGTTGAGAACCGCTGCTTTAAATGTTTCCATAAAGTTGCTAAATTCTTGGCAATGGCTTTTTAAATGCTCTACAGAAACTTGCTGTGCTTCAAGGATGTTGAATTGTATGGGGAATTCTTCATACTTTTCTTAAGAGGCCAATGTGCCCTCAAACATGTCATGCCCTCCATTGGATCCTTTTATTTTTTTTAGGTTTGTTCTCATTAAAGTAATCAAAATTGGAAGGTGTGGTCCTCTGAAGACCTCTGAAGGTATGCCATCAATGGTGCCATACCTAGTTAAGGCAAATTAGCTATTGAGGGTAGAGTGAGAGGAACTCAGCACACCACCATGAACTACCTGATGCCATTGTCTCTGTCTCACACTTTTGGCATCTTAGGACCTGAATTGTCTGTGGTCTCCCTGCAGCTGATGTTTTCTCCATTACTGACTTACCATGCCTTGTCCAATAGGGGCAGCCATCTATGGTAGAGGAGAAGGGCTTTGGTTCCCCATGTCAGAGCTGCCCCCCTGATGACTGGTGATCTGACGACTGGTGGGGGTAATGATAGGGGTGGCAGAAGTCCAGATCCACAGAATGGATGAATCAGAAGCAGGGAGATGCTTGCATTGCAGGTCCTCAGGTACAGCTTCCTCTCCAAAAAGGACAGTGAGCAGCACAGTAGTGACATCACCAAATCACACTCCACATCTGGTGAGATTAGAGGTCAGAGGCCGCAGATCCTAAGATGATCTCACACTGTGGATGTACAGCTATGAGGCCACAGAATGGGAGTTCGTAGGCACAGGACGTTCTATGCTATTTTTCAGGAGAAATCCAATACAAAAGGTATATTTGTACTTTATGAGCTCAGGTCTTCTTCACGTCCAAGCTATGACAATCTGATAAGAATCATAATCTATGAATTTGGGATGATACAAGTCCAACCCGGAACCCCTCACCCTGCTTGGCGAGAACCCTGAATACCAGGCGACCTTAACGGGACCACCCACCTCAACAAGGGAGGGATATGTCGTCCCTCCAGGACCCATTCCTGGCGTCCTGTACACTGGACTGACCGGAACCTCTTTGGCTGAGCCTTTAGATGGGGCTGTCTGTAACTCATCCTATAAAGCTTACTTTCATAGCAGGGTTATGTAACTTCCTTAACTGCAGGCTCCCTTAAGGCTAGGGGAATAAGTGACGTAGCCCGGACCTATATTGTGGTTCATAATTTAACCATCAGAGTTTTTTTTCATAGAACTAATGGAAGGGTGTGCAGGGCAGCTCGTTGGTCTCAGTCCCTTGTTTGTGCTCTGTTCATTCAGATTCAGGTGTTCTTCAGCTCTGTTTATCTTGTAACAAAAGCTGATAAGACCCCCCTGCACTAGGGACCCCGGGGAGAAACCTCTTCTATGTTCTCCAAGCCCCCTCATAGCCAGGGAAGGCAGGCAAACAAACTTGGTACCAGAAGCACACCGGGAAGGACCAGACAGGGATGAAAACTTTAAGAAGTCTTAGACCACTACAATGCAGAGGGCCGGTCTTTTCTTATTTAGAAAAACCACTCAGGCTAATTCCAGGAAGACCCGGGTTACCACTTGCGTCTTGTGTCATGTACTGTCCATGTGTACAACACCCCTTTATAACCAACTGAGCAGAGAAGCCGATGGGATGTTGACTTTCTCATTGCCTCAGCTGCCCTAGACAAGTATTGTGGTCATTGTGGCTTGTACTGCTAGTGCCGTATGACAGACATGATAGTAGAAGAATGGAAATATCATATAAACACAGACAAGTGTCCTCAGCACAATAGAAGGGGACAGTATGTCGTACACCGTACCTTTTATTTTGGTCCTGTTCTCTGTCTTCTGTGCCCTGTCACGACTAGAATTGGCATAAACATTTTCGTCAAATCTTCCTAAAGACAAACACAGAACTTAACATGAATGTTTAACAAATGGAATCTCCCGGGACGGACATGTGTGAGCACAGTGTGGTAACCACCAAGGATGCAGTGGGGACGGCCAATACAGGAGTCCATTTTAGATCACACCACATGGACAGTCATGTTCCTGCTTCTCCTCCTGTTCCCAACCAGTTCCATGTATGTCCTGGTTGGTAGGCTTTAACAAGTGGACATTTGTTTTACGAATCGTCAAGCAGGAAACAAATCCCGAAGGATTATTATTCTGACAGATTTACCCAAATCAGAAGACCACCCGGACAATTGTGTGGAGTTGATGCCGTAAAGCTGCTGGATTGGTTACTTTGATGTTTCCTGTTCAAAGTATTTAAAATAAACAAGGAGGCTGCTATAGTGCTGACCTCCGTTCTGAAAAGGCTTGAGTCATTGCCGAAAAATAGGAAAATTACAGCCTTTCCCCATTGACCCCAATGCACCAAAATGGTGAAATTTTACCAAAATTTTAATTTTTTTTGGAATGAACCTCAATTTAAATTTTCCCTACTTATGATGAGTCTTGAGATCTCCTCTGATGTTTCCAACTGATGAGTCTGAATCTGAACCAATGAATAACGTCGCTGTGAAGGTTTTTGGGGAAACCATTATAATTGTTCTACTCAGGATCAGGAATCGGCATGCACAATATTCCCTGAGGTATCTCGAGGATGTAATAAGACTCTTTAAATACTTATTAAGAAGAGATATAAGAATACATTTTATATGTTAACTGTTTTGGCTGTATTGTAAATATTTAAAACAAAAGAATATTTACCCTTATTGCCCCCTTTCCCTCTGACCTCATGTTACTCCCCTCCCCCTCCACAGATACATACTTACCTTAATCTGTCAGCTGTAGTTGTGCCGTATGTCTTCACTGTCCTGCAGCAAGCCCTATAGACGGCTATGGGACCATCTTTGGCAATGGCACACAGCCCCGTAGAAGTCAATGGGCCACTAATACCCAGGTGCATCCAAGACAGTGAAGACTTGAACTGGTGGAAGTAAACAAACAGCAGAACCAGGGCTGATGGTTGGAGGCAAGTAGGCAACTGTGGAGGCGGAGGGTGGGCTGAGTTAGGTCAGGAGAAGGGGGCAAAACTGTAAATGGACTTTGCTTTAAATGGCACTTATCCCTTTAAATGAATATTAGATAAAATCTGATACACTTGAACTAATGACACTTTACAATATATTACACTGACAAGGTCCCAGACACTCACAGAAATGAAGGACAGATTTCCCTAGGGGCCCCTGTGCAATGCCACTTTCTACAACCCCCTCCACACACCCCATTCTACTACTGGCCAAATAAAAACATTCACCGTGTACGTATTAGCAGCTAGATGAATTGAGAGGTGCCGAAGTCTACACGTCAGCCCGAGGGGTCTCAGCTCACACCTGACCCACTTCTAGAATAAACGGGCCCCTAAGCCTCGGAGGGCCCTTGTGTAGCAATTGGTATGCCCACCCCGGGATGGCATCTATGAATTACCTGAATGCATTGCAAATTCTTCGGTTCTCCTCATCTCAGGAATCTGTGCCCCGATCAATCTCTAAAAACCCGTCTCCACCATCAGGAGCTCTGGTGAAAACCAGCTGGTGCTTAGACTCGTGTGTTGAGTAAGCCCATATGACCTGCCAGGAGGTGTCACCATAACAATAACCATGAATTCCTGATGCAGTCTTCCTCAGGCTTTAAAAATGCCAAAAAGTGTCTCCTCTGATAAAAACGATTTGTAGTTCTGCAACAATGAAGCTTATACTGACAGCTCTCCTGATACCTCCATCCAACATAGACATACTTCATGTTAGTATCAATGTCAGTTGGGGTGTAATTACAGATCATGGGGTCTTGAAGCTAAATTTTTATGGGGCCCCCCAGTGATTTCCCCGCGGTCATTGATCTAATCATCTTGTATGTCTAAAATTAAGGACAGGTAGGTGGAGAGGAGTCAGCCTCTGACCACTGATAATACAATAGTCAGTACAATACTGGGGACCAGTGCTGAGGACAGAAGGTCTCGGGGAAGGGGGATTTACTTTGTAACTTTCGTTTCATTTTCTAGCTTACTATGTCTACAAACTTCTTTAGACTGTGTTTTTTTTTGCAGAAGTACAACCAGATGTCACATCAGTTTTCAGCTGAGGAAGCAGTCTGGGGTGGGAGGCAGACTGCGTTAGGTGTACAGGGCAGTGCTGGCCGGAATAATCAGAAGCAATAAATCTACACTGACAGTTGAACAAATTCTCCTTACTGCACATCCTGCAAAGGGGGCGTCTGCAGGGCCGGATTTCCCACAAGGCCAACCAAGGCCCGACCTCGGGGCAGCAGGGAGTAGAGGGGCAGCAGGGGTGTGGAATTCCTATCTCCCGACGCCCGGGACATGCAGTCCTGGGCACCAGGCGGGTGGTTGTTTTCTACATTTAGCCCGGCTTTGGACAAGCAGAGATCACTTGTATGCAGCCTGCAGATCTCCCATTCTCCATTGGGGGGGGGGGTCTGGGGGGAAGGGGGGGGGCATTGAGGAACCTGGCCTTG